CCTTTTAGCATTTAACCCAGTTTGGCTCGCAGTTGAACCAACGGAATAGTAGCGAACCCCTAATTCAATCGGTCCCTTGACCGGGTCAAGGGGCGGGCTAGGTTTAAAAATACTGCTTATAATATTATCTAGAATATTGTTGTATGTTTACATATGTGTCAAAAAAAAAATCTATAATAATCATTAACGAATTTAATTTCTATGTGAAATTACATTATCAATCTTTATTAGTGGTTTAAGGTTTTTTTATTAGCTTAAGAAAATAACAACATCAAAATCATCTTTGTTACTTTTAACATCTCAATTTTGCTTAAAAATTAGGGTTGAAACGAAAAGGGTATGATTTTTGACATAAACCCAAAATAAATTAAATCTTACCCCATGGTTTTGTATATGCTTGCCTGCACAAAGAATGGTAGATTCTAAGCTAACTTGTGTTTCACAAATAATTGGCAAATTCGTAGCCCACTTCCTACTAGATGCACAATAATGGTCCCTCCATATCACTTGTTTTCAAAACCTAACAATGAAATAGGGGCGAACAACATGCACCTACCCATAGTTTGCCTTAAAGACAATTTGGTACCCAAAAGGTTTGAAAATGACAAACAGCCACTTTCCGTCACATTCGGTTAAAGTTTCTGTCTTTTAAATGACAACATTGCTTGAAAACTTCTCAAAACCACTAACAAACACATCTTCATAACCTTGAACAAATTTCTCAGAACTGAATATCGCCAACCTTTAGCAGCCAATAATTCCCTCTTTCTCCGTCCCTAATCCACAGCCATCATTCCATTCTCCCCTTCCCTAACACTACTTGTAACGCCTCAAATCCCACCAATCCTCTTTCGTCTCAAATCCCACCAACGCTTCCCACCCTACCACTACCTCCACTCCACTTTATTCGCCGGCCACTCATATTAATTCACTCTCTCCTCCCTCAATCAGCCACCATTGTTTTCTCCTCTGTTAATCTCAGGGCACAAAAATCTTCCCACCCCTTCTTTTTTCTGAAAAAAAAAAAGCCTAAAAGAATTGATTGTGACTATTTTGATTGTTTTCTGAGGATTATGGAGCTGTGGATTGGGTGCGGATGATGTCTTTTTGGGGTTGTTCGACTGGTAGGTTGCTGGACATGATGGAAGGGTGAGGTGGGTTTGTTGGGCATAAGAGAAAGGTGAACGAATTGGGTGGGTTTTTGCCGGGTGAAAGAGGGAATTATTTAGAGCTGGGCATTTGGGACCGGGCCCAAAAGCCCAGCATCAAAACCCAGTCCTAGGACTGGTCCTTGAGAGGACCGGTCTTAGGAGGCCTAGTCCCAAAACGGGACTAGGCCTAAGGAGGAGGGCCCGGGCCCTCCACTAGGCCCTCCTCCAAGGCCCGGGTCTGGGCCCAAATTTTTTTTGTATTTTATCATTTTAGTCCCTTGTAAAATTACTTAAACCCCCCAAAATAAGTATAAATTATAAGAACTAAAAAAAATTTTACAAAATTTATTTAAAAAAAAAAAATTTAACTTTTTATAACCGTTGGCTGCCAACGGTCACAAGAGGAGCCAACGGTTATAAACTTATAATTATAAGTTATTTTTTTTTCATTTTCTCCCCCCACAACTACACCATAAATAACCCTAAAACCTTTAATTTTTTTCACACCAATCAATCTCTCATTCTTTCATTCTTTCAATCTCTCTACTCCAAATCTCCAATCAATTTCTCATTCAATTTATATTTATAATTTATTCATATTATTTATTTATATTATTCAAATTTTTTTCTATTTTTCAATATCATCATAATTTCATATTATTATTTAATTTCTTTTCATTTTAATTATTTATTATTTTATCATAAATTTATAATGTCTTCCCCAAATGAGTTTTACGTTCCATCCACCGAAGAAATTGAAGCCTTCAATCTATTTTCACCATTTTCTCCAGAGGAAGCAGCTGTAATTCCACAACCACATTCGGTCGAGACGAGATGTAGCCAAACACATGCGAGTTGCGAGTCAATGGGCACGGACATAGCCCAACCCCCCCGACCGTCAAAGAGGGTCGTGTCCGATGTCTGGCGATATTTCACCAAATCAAAACGGCCAAAGACAAATGGGGAGGGGGAAGAATCGTGTGGGATATGTAATTTATGTGGAACCATTATTGGGGCTGAGAAGGGGACTTCGACGAAGCGACGACACGTAGAGAAGAAGCATCCCCAAATAAATGCATCTTCAAGCGGATCAGGTAGACAAATTCAAACTCAACTTAATTTTAATCCACAATCCTCAACTCTCTCAACATGGCAATACAATACACATGTTGCACGAGAGGAAATAGCAGGATATATAGTTGCTACGAACTCTCCCATTTGTTTATCTGAAAATCCTTTTTTTGTTAATATAGTTAAAACTGCATTTTGTCCAACATATACCACTGTTAGTAGAAGTACAAGTAGAAGAGATATACTAAAACTTTATAACAAAATAAATAATAAACTTAAAAACGAATTTCAAAATTTTAGGAATATATCTATTGCACTTACATCAGACATATGGGCTTGTAGATCAAAAACCGATTTTTTAACTGTCACAGTACATTTCTTAGATCATAATTGGGGTTTACAACAAAAATTGATAGGTTTGAAATCATTATATGAAAAACATAGTGCTGAAACTATTTATTTTACAATTCTTGAAGTTTTGCAAGAATATTTATTAACTGATAGAGTTGTAGCGTTAACGCTTGATAATGCAGCTGCTAACACCGCGACAATCTCTTTATTTGAAAAGAAATTGGATCCGCTTGGTGAAGTCAAATTTTATCACCAGAGATGTCCTTGTCACATCATCAATTTGATAGTTAAAACAGGTTCAGATGCTATACATTCAAAGATGGAGAGGGTGCTAGAGCTATCGGATTTATCATCGGCGGTAGCAATAAAACATGACAGGAGTACGTCAAATATTGTAAGCAAGAGGAGCCACCGGTTCGACCTTTGAAGTTATGTACAGACATGCCTATCCGTGGAACTCTACCTACTTGATGTTGGAAAAAGCTTTACCAACCGCGAAACAAATTACAGAGTTCGTCAACCGGAAGAACTATCCAGAGGAAGTTGTCAATTATAATGATTGGGCGGTTTGTGAACTTTTTTATTCATTTCTTAAAAATTTTTATGATGCTCCTAATACATTAAGTGATATTTATTATCCAATTACTAATTTAGTGTTAGATATTTTAGTTCAAATTGCTAAAACTTTTGCTCAATATAGATATGATAACATTTTAAGTGAAATTGTTTCAAGTATGGAAGAAAAATATAAGAGATATTGGTTATTTATTTTATTTTTATATGGATTAGGCCTTTTTCTAGATCCTAGGTTTAAATTATCCGTAGTTAACGGTGTAATTACTGAGTTAGGCCATTATTTAGGACATGATTATAAGTCTTATTTGACTGACTTTAAACACAAATTGGATAGACTTTTTTTCTTTATATGAGAACAGGTACAATGGAAGTGGAAGTGGAAGTGGAACGTTTAGGAGAGGCGATCAGGACCTTGATGCAGCCCCCCCTCAAGGATCGAGCAAGTGGGCGTATGTGGAACGTGGCGAAAGCTCCAGCTCCAGCTTGTACATATATAGACCAAATGAGATGACTCGCTACCTACAGGTGGACCTGACCTTTATGACGATGAAGGAGCAACTTGACATGGATATTCTTCAATGGTGGAACCAACATGAATGTCGATTCCCCATTATATCTCAAATCGCACGTGACATTTTATCTGTGCCGGTTTCTACAATTGCATCCGAGTCAACATTTTCAACGAGTTGTCGGATTGTTGAAGACAGAATAAGTTCTTTAACCGATGAGATGATTGAAGTGATAACGTGTTTACGGGATTGGACTCATGCAGAAAGAAGAATATAACAGTACCCTGAAGATCCCGAACTACTCGAACTCTTTAGGAATACAGATTTGAATAATGTAACTAGTGTTGACGATGAAATTAAAGATGAATAATTTAATAAAAAAATTATTTAATTATTTATTTGTGAAGCCTGAATGTGTGAAATGTGAATATTACATTTATGTTAAAAATTAAAATTAACTATTAATTTATCATTTTTTAAAATTAATTAAATTTTTAGAAACTTACTAAACAACCCCTAAAAAATACAAAAAACCCCTATAAAATTTTGTTTTGCCCCAAAATATAAAAAAATTTGAGGGGGGAAAAAAAATTATCCAAGCCCCATGGGACCAGTCCCGACCAGGCCTAAGGCCTGGTCCGGATCCTAGTTTTTCTTATGGACCTGGGACGAGTGACTGGTCCCATTTAGGCCTGGGCCGGCAAGGGACCGGTCCCTTGCCCACCTCTAGAATTATTGGCTGTTAAGGATGGTGATATTTGGTTTTGAAAAATTTGTTCAAGTTTATGAAGATGTGTTTGTTAGTGGTTTTGAGAAGTTTGCAACGGTGGAGGAAGGTGGGGATTGGACTGGACTATAAAGTGGCTGTGTGGCTGATTTTACAAGAAGGAGATCTTGCGAAAGAGGATTTAGGAAATTCAATTTTAATTAAATATAATTAGTAAAATTTATCCCTTTACTATTTGAAATCTTGCCAAATCCAAGAGAGAAGAAGAGGGGAAAATAAAGAGATGGAAGAAAACAGAGACAATAAAGAGACGAAGAAAGTGAAGATAAAAAACTATAATCTCAAACTTGTAAAGGTATTTCAGTTTTTTCTAGTAGTGTTGTCATTTAACAGACAGAAATTTTGTCGAAACTTGATGGAAAATGACTATTTGTCATTTTTAAACCTTTTGACTATCAAATTGTCTTCACTGCAAGTATAGGTAGGACCATGTCGTCCGCCCATGAAATAGGTGATGTTTTCTTATGGCATTCAAAGGATTTCTTAAGAATAGGTAAGTGAAAATATTTATTATACACAAAAGGACCAGGACCGCACCTGAGCCCTCTCCCACAGAATAATTTCTAAATTTTTTCGTTTCTTAATCACGTGATTTAGGCGTGCGTGCTTTTCAATGCTTCTTCACCTTCTTTCTTCCATTCCCACACTCTTCACTCCCTCACTCTCCTTTCATTTGTATGTTTTTCTCTTCAATTTCTGTTTGTTTTTTAATTGTTATGTTTTGTTTCTTCTTTAAGCTCATGTAATTGTTTCAGGATAAAGTGGAGAACAAATTGTGCGAATAGGCAAATGGGTCGCGAGAGTTTACTTCCCCAAGTGAAAAAGCCTTTGAATTTTCGGTTGTGCAAGGTTTCTGGGTAGTTTCATCAATACCCTTTTTCTTTTTTTCACTTGTTTGTTGTAAATTTTATTAATTTTTTTAAGTTTTAATTTTTATTTAATTAATGGTCAGTCACACAAGTGAAGTGCTGGAGATTCAAGCTGATGATCCTACATTGCATGTTTTATTCATCCCTGGAAATCCAGGTTTACGTTATTGTTAAGTTGTTTAATCAAGTTATTGTACTTAATGAGAATTCAAGTTAGCTAAGCGAGTTTTGGAAATTTTTCGGTTTATGTATGAATCACAGGTGTAATTTCATTTTACAAGGACTTTTTGGAATCACTATATGAGCTTCTTGGAGGAAGGGCATCAATAACAGGCAAGGTATTACATATCAGTATACTTTTTTGTGTTATTTTTGTCTGGTTATTAATGGATTATTCAATTTTTTAGATGTGATTTCCATGCTAATTGGTTGCATCTTTGCCTAATTGACAGTTATTGGTCACATATCTCAAACTGCAAAGGTATATGAATTATAAGTTTATGATGTTCATTTGTCTCTTCCTAGTTTTTAACCATTAGCTGGAATATAAGCTTAAAATGGGAGGGAAAAAAATTGAATAAGGATTGCTAATCCCGGCTTAGTTCTACTCATTTAACGTTTGGGTTGCTACCAGATATGCTGCAAGGAGTCTATGCACATAATTTTAAAGAATGAATTTGATAAATATTTAGCTCCTAGGTTGCAATGTTACTTTATTACAATCTTGTAAAGTTAGGAGTACAACATGGTATTCATCTACATAATTAAACCCAATTTGCCTTTGATACGCTTCAGAAGCTACATTATGAAGGCATATTAAATTAAACATTTTTTCTTTGAACTCTCTCTTTCTTGGCTATTTAGTAATCTGTCGATGTCATGCATTGGGGTTTCTTGGGAATCAATGGAGATTAGTGATAGCCTATGAGTTGGTGTCATAAAATCAACTCAGAAACTCTGTTGATGAAAAACTACCAAACATCAATTGTATGCTTTCTTAGTGATCATAATTGGGTGAGTGGAAACCACCTAAAGATGTCACTGAGCTTTTGACCCTGGAATTCATAAAAGATTAATGCTAAATCCTGCAAATTCATTTTAAAATGAATATTGATAAGTTCAGAGAGCAACCAATTGAGCACGCAATAACTGTGATAAAAACCTTACTTGCTGTCCTTTTTCTCCCTGAGCTTTTTATATACATATTTCCTTCTCTCTTCTTGATAGGACTGGGAGCATGGTAGGTTGTTTTCATTGCAAGAACAAATTGATCATAAGGTAATGTTCTATATGCTTTGTTGGCCTCAGACAGTCCATTAAAATTGCAAATTTATCCTGTGGATGGTATAATTTATGTCCTGCAATGATGGATAGATTGCATGAGTTTGAGTTGTTGCCTTTATTGAGCTCTATGGAGACTTTGTTGAATTGTGTGAATGAGTCTGAACTAGTTTCTTAATGGGGGGAAAAAAAAAAAAAAGAGTACCTCATTTCCATGTTTCTATATCATTCCTGGAAATTTGTCAAATCAATCTTGTCTACTGTTTAACCTTCATATATCCTTCTAAAGAAACAATTCGGTCGATTCCATGAGTGTTGCTCATCTCATACTCTTTTGTTGATGGTACTCCTCTTCTTAATACTTATGCGTGCTTCAAATCAAATTAGTGGGTTCAATTTACCGTTATTATTATATTACATTATGATCTCCATGTTATCTCATATATTTTGCAGATGGACTTCATTGGACAGGAACTACAAAATACTGAAGTTCCTATAATACTGGTGTGTAATACATTTTATATTCTATTGTGATGCTGATCTCTTGAAAATTAACTTGTCATCTATAAAATAGTACTACAATGCAGTTTTTTCTTGTGGTAACATTAATAGTCTTTCAGCTTATTTGGCTTCTTCTTGCACATTGGTCTCTCCTACACATGCACACTTAAAATGTTCTGAAAAAGAATTTTTTTTGGGAAAGATACTTGAATATCTGGATGATTTCACAGTACTCATAATTATACAAAGAAGTTTTGGTAGCAAATAACGGCTTTGCTCTTAAGTGTTGGTAGCTGACTTATGGTTTATTTATGAAGGTTGGACACTCTATCGGTTCATATATATCTGTTGAAGTGCTAAAGAGGTCTTTAGAAAAGGTGATGACTGCCACAAATTTTGATGCTTAAGAGTTCATCATTCTCTGTTAAAATGTTTTGAACTTAAAAAATCCTGCTTGTGAGGACTTAATTCTGTGGTTATAGGTGATATATTGCGTTGGATTATATCCATTTTTGGCGTTGAACCGACAATCAATAAAGCAGTCCATTATTGGGAAAATTGCAGCGTAAGGTTCTTGTCTATTGTGATAACATTACTTCCCACTCTTGTCTACAACACGTGTGAATTATTTTCTCCTCAATGTCTATTACATAGAGATTACTCAAATGATGGGTTATAAAATGGCTTATGTATTTGATCTGCTACCTTTATGAATGAGTTTTAATTTTTGACATTTTCTCTTGATCCTATTATAGATATAATACTCCTTTATATTGTTGAGTTTTTAATCTACCTTTCTTTTTTTGTTGTGCACAGGAGCTGATAGAATATTCTTATGAGTTTCAGGTCTTCGTTCATATCAGCTGCAGTTAGTTTTGCTATAGCATCTTTGGGATTATTACCTAGGAGAGCTTTAACGGTTGTTGTATCTAAATCTTTTGGGAGTTCATGGTCTGGTACCGCTGTTGAGGTTGCTTGCACTCACTTGTCACAGGTGAAGTCTTATATGGTGTAAAAAATAGAAGACTTAGCTTCTTGGGTTGCTAGTATTGTCTTTCAAAAAGTTTAAAAACATGTTTTATTTTTCTGCATAGTTGTACTAAGATTATAGGTTTTTATGCAGAAGATGCAAAAATAGGTATTTGTCTAAACATTATTGCATTTTTGAAATCAAATTAATTTTTTTTCTTCATTTATTTCAGTATCATGTTATGCGAAATGTGCTCTTTCTCGCAATGACAGAGTTCAAAAAGGTAAAATCTGGATTTCGTGAAGTATTAAATTGTAGCATGTAATGACGCTATCTTTTGCTTGTAGAACATAATGCAGTAACTATTCAACTATGTATAGGAACGTCATATTTTATCTTGATTTAATGGCTTCATTGTTCGTCTACCTATATTCCAATATAAACCATGCCATCTTGCTCCTAACGAGGTTCTTTTACTAATTTGTCATTCAAATCCAGAAGTCTTGTGAAGTTCAGTTTTTCTGCTTACTTTTCTAACAATATGGTAAAACTTGTTTACTCCTAAAGTTATCTTCAACAATCTGAAAATCTTGTTACTACTATCAAAACTATTTAACTTTGTTTAATTGTGTCGATGCATGTATTATGCTGCAGTTATGGTAGTCAAATGATTTTTGTGACAGCGAACCATTAAATACACTGACGGAATTTTGAACTGATATATGTGATACTGTTTGCTTAAAATTACAATATCAATGATCCATAATTATCAAATATACTGTCATTTAAACTGATGTTTATTTTCCTCTGCAAGTGATGGCTATATCTATCATGCTAGTTTTGTCAATTTCTAAGTACAGCGTGCATGCATTACATTTTTGCATTTTCACAGAAAATGAGCAGGCTGTTTTGCTCATATAGTATTACTAAGATACCAACCTTATGCTGACTATTAGATATTTCTTGTAGCTATCAGAAACACCAGATTGGGCCTTTATGAGAGCAAATCAGGATAAAATTGCATTTTTGTTTGGCATTGATGATCAATGGGGTCCACTGCAAATGTTTGAAGAGGTGAGAATGTATAGTATCATTTTGTCATGGGAAAAGCTTAAATCATATGTTGTGCATATATGCAATGTAGCGCCTGTTTTTTGAGTATTTATGTGTGAAAAAATCATTTTGCATCTGCTTTATACTATTGTGCAAAACTGCTTTCGTCTGGGCGATTACCATAACAATGCATGTTGATGAGTTATTACTGCCTATCCGTTTTTAATTTGAGAATAATAGTAGTTACCTGCAACTAGAGGTGGCCGAAATTTTCACAGCCCACTGTGCCATAGACCGTGCCATGCCACAGCCCACAGAAATGTGGGTTGTGCAGTGCCGTGCTACATTCTGAAACTCAAGGCCCACAGCACGGCCCATGGCCCACCGTGCCATGCTTTCATGGGCCGGCCCACATGCCTTCTCAAAATATTTAAAAAAATTGTTTTTTATAATTTTTTATAGTATATATATATATATTTTTTTTAATGGCACGTGGGCCATGTTGTGCCGGGCTGGGCCGGCCCGTGTGCACAAGCCTTGGCCCGCAAATAAATATTTCTATTTATTTTTTATGGCACGTGGGCCGTGCCGTGCTGGCCCACGGGCCATGGCACTACACAAAATTTTCGTGCCATGCCAAATTTTTTGTGGGCCAGCATGGCTCACTGCCACCTCTACTTGCAACTGTAAGGAGAATCTATAGTTCTATGGGGCTGATCCTATGCCCGGGAAATACTCCTATAATTATGGTGTTAGAGATTAATTATAAAGCAATACTTTTGTATCAACGGATGATGTTACATTGATAATCATGTCATTCACTGGTTAGCTTGTCTAGGAAATTTTCTCTTTTTTCCTCCCTCCGGGATTTTTCTGCTTGACTAATTTGGCTTATCTTTAACCTACATGTTTTGGTCACAGATTTCGAAGCAGGCCCCAGATATTGGTCTATCAATTGAAAGGGAGGGCCACACTCATGCTTTCTGTTGTACCCAGGCTGGTTCATCATGGGCTGCTGGCCATGTAGCTAATTTGATAAGGAAAAGGTTTCAAGTTAAGGTCAGACCTACTCCCTACATTTGCAGATCGCATTGATCAAGTTTCTCTTATTTAAAAGGGAGAAAAATGAGCTAATATATTACTGATGTAATGCTTGGATCATATATTTGTCATCTGATGAAGTTTAAATAATAAAATATCACAAACGTGTATAACTGTTATATGTGTATAGATCTCTAGTCCTCAATTCCTTCATATAATAGAACTTTTTGTCCAACATTGCAAGACTGAAAATGGTCTGCATGTCATATTACAGTGTTAGTCATCGAGGTCAAGAAGAAAATTCGATGGAAAAATTTTGGGATTTTCCTGCGGATTCTGGAAAGAGAAAGAGTAGTAATAATGAACATAAAGACTAGTAGCAAATTGAGATTTGTGAGATTGATAACAAACTGAAAAGTAGACTGGTAACTTGAACGTAAGATTAGTTATATGAACCGTGAGGTCAGATGACATGAAACCCGCAGTTATGTTGTCAATGTCAATTGCTGTGTTATCAAGTCTCACGTTTCAGTGTGTTATCAGTCTCAACTGAATTCCCATGTTTCATAATCTTTTTTCTTTCAAGTATTAATATGATGGACAAACCCTTAGAGTAATTATAAAATTATGATTACTTTTGAGAATTTTTTAGGTTGTTTGGTTACATCTCAAAAGTGTTAAAAGGATTTTAAATAAAGCTATTATAGAGTAATTAGATTGAATATTGACGCAGAAACAACCAAAAATGGCAGCAGGAGACATGGTTTTTAGTAGCTTCTTGTAGTAGTTGTAGTGTAGTGTCCCGTGAGTCTTGATTTTCGAACCAAATACTACAAGTTACGTAATTAATACTTGAAAACATAAGCTTTGACCAAACATTAAGGACAAAATTATGGTAATGCACGTCATTTATACTATCATCTTGCAATTTGTTAAGATTATAATATCCTCATTACATTTATTTAATTTAAAATCATTTAATTATTTTAAAAGACACTAAACTACTACGTGATGATTTTGTATAAAAAACTAATACACTAAATATCATTGTTAAATTAAATTGAGGTATACTATAAAATATAAACTACAATAATCACTAATTAAAAATTGGATTGAGATTTGTTTGTGAGGGGCAACACTACTCAAATATTAAGGAATAAACTATTCCCCATAGTTCCCGAAATAAAATAAAATAACTTCAGTATAAATATTGTCTTTTTGCATGTTAACAAAATTATTGAAGATTTTATTTACAAAACCCAAAACATTTAGATATATTAAATGGGAGAATTTACATTGGCAACAACATCAACATGGGTGTTAAAGTTGATTTATTGAAATTAGGAGGATTGGTTGATAATTCCTAAATGAATGAGCGAGTCTTCTAAGCAAATTCCATCGGAAATTGGTTTCCATTCTAAATTATTTAACTCTACAAGCAATTGCTGCTCTTTTACGATGCCTTTTTTTAATTCTTATAATAATATATAACGCGGACGTCTATATTTATAAAGACTAAAATATAATTTTAGGCCATTGTTAATATGAAGAAATTTGACTAAATTTTTATCTTTTAATCTTTAATATTAGTAATAAACTACTTACAATGCCATTTAATGGATGAAAAGGGTTTTGGTGGTGTCGAGGCTGTCTCACGAAGTCGGAATTAGGCTAGATTGGCTTGAGATGGCAGTCACACAGGTGGATTTGGGTTGTCAGATGCGATTTTGGACGAATGAGATTTGAGATTTGGAATGATTATTTTACCCTTTAATCATTACATTCAACTTTTATATTACTTTAACATTCAACTTTATATTACTTTAAAGGTGAAAATCTGAAATATATGAAATCAGGAGTGAAAACTTATAATTTCGCTAGTTTTTAGGTGGTAACATTTTGTTTGCTCTTTAAATAAAAGGAAAAGAGGGACACCTTAAAATTCTTTGTCTTTTTTTTTTGGGGGGGCTATCTTCAGTTATTCATTCCTTAAAGTATTTTTGAGTTTTTATTTTTATTTTTATTATTATTACTAAAGAATATTGTATTAATAAGGGATCCTATTAACCATATATTGAAAAAAAAAAATTTTAAATAACACATTTAATATTTTATTTATAATATTATTTACCAAATAGATAAATAAATACATAACTTAATTGTTTATTTTATTTTTTAATAAAATAATCTGTTAAAATTAGGAAATCAACCCTTACATAATTATACAAATTTACTTCAATGTATATTTTATGAGGTGAAGCTGTTTAATCATGAGATGAATTTTTATTAAATTTTATTTGTGTTAATGTTTCATACCTATATTAAATCGTTTAACTTGCCCCCTTAATTAATTTTTAAGTCTATCCTGCCCTTATATAATAACAAAAATTTGTTTTAAATTTATGAAATAATCAAAATTCTTTTATCATTAGTAAACCGTTTGAGTGGATAACTATTTATCATAATCTATTTTAATATATAAAACTTAACAGTAAAAAGATTTCTCTATTATTTCATAAATCCCATTTGGAATTTTGGATTATCGACAGTGAGTGTATATTTCCAAGATGAACGGTCAAGATAAAGCCGTGACAGTAAAATTTGACAGACAAGTGAAGTTATCAATTCGGGGACCCTCCTTAACTCACATGCAGGATTTATAGGGATCCTCTTCTTCTCTCCACCTCAGTCAAATTTCCCTTTCCCTCATCCCAAAATTTTCTGTCTCCCTTTCTCTCTTCCACATCTCGTCTGCAATGTCCACTTCAAGAAGAAAACTCCTCCTCAACACAGTTTCAGTTAGCCTCGGCTGCAGCAGCTGCAAGAAACCAAAACTCTCCTTTCTTTTCCACCCTAAACCCAAATCCAAGCACCATTCCCATTCCCTTTACTCAAACCACTCCCTCTATTTCTCCTCTTCAACCACCTCTTCCTGCAAAACAAACGCAACCGAGTACGACACAGCCAGCGCCACTACATTCTCCCCCAAAACTTGGAAAACCGACGAAACCGACATCCGCAAGCACAAGAAGACCGGTTCCAGAACTGTACGAGGATTCGGTCGTGTCGGAGGCCAAAGCCTGGCGGTAGAGAAAGAATCCGATGACCCTTATTTGGATTTCCGGCACTCGATGTTGCAGATGATTCTGGAGAAGGAGATATATTCGAAGGATGATCTTAAAGAGCTGTTGAACTGTTTTTTGCAGTTGAATTCTCCGTATCACCATGAGATTATCGTTAGGGCGTTTACTGAGATCTGGAATGGAGTTTTTTCTGTGAAGAATAATAATGTTAGTAACAATGGTTCATCGAAGCTGCAGTTTGGATGCAAGTCACGTGAGTTTTAGGGGTGTGCACGTGTCTTCATATCTGAGTCTAACTAATAAAAATCTTGTAACTTTTGTTATGGAGTCTCCAAAGTGGGGGCCTTTTCATGGTGGTTAATATGTCGCTGTTTGTAAAAAGTTTTTGATGGAAATGTAATGGGAAAAACTCATAGAATTTTCAGCTTTTTATAATTTTCTCTATTTTTATTATGGATATTGTTTTGGTGAAGAAATGGTTGTTGCCAGGAGGCAAATTCTTGAGAATTGTTTGAAGATGCTGTTGGGGAAAGAGAGGCATCGGGATTTGTATTAAAATGAGTTGGAACCTGGGGGGTTTTTCTTTTCTGTTCTTTTTTTAAGTTAAAATATTTTCTTTTCAAGTTAAGTGATGTTATGAACCAATTACGTTTTAGCATAAATGTAATCGAAAAGCTGAGGAGATCAGTTTGGGATGGAACTGAACAAGATAATAAGGAGATCGACATTGAAATAATATTACAGTGCAGACTTTCTACGTTTTCCAACACTGTCTATTCTGCTATCTTTTGTTATCATGCTCATTTATAGTTGCTGCTCCTTCACGCATCCCTGCCCAGCCTCTGTGTGTGATCATTATATTTAGCTTTAATGAATGATGACAAAAAAAAAAAAAAAAAAAATACTAATGGAGTGATTTATTTTCATTTAAAGATGAGTTAACAGTGAGTTAATAAAAGGGTATTATTTCCGGTAAAATATTTTCTCAATGAATTTATTTTTCCTCGTCTTATTAGGTTATTCGGTTTATTTCAGTTGATCCCGTATAACATCTTTTAGTATTACACTCTTGTCTTGGTTTTAAAAACATTAAAAACCTCTTCAACAATATTAAATATCTCTAGACTAAATTATCAAAAACTCTTTATCAAGGGATATTTAATATTCTATGAATGAAACAGATAATTTAAAACTAAGCAATCTCGTCGGATAAAAAACGAAAGAAAACCCCTAAATAATTATTTATCTTACCATTGTATCAAAGTTATATTATGAAGGATAAATGATGGACAACAATAATCCCATCTCTCCAATTTTCAAAGTCGACAGAAAACGAATTTTAAGTTTTGATAAGTTTAAAGGCAGTTTTTGTTTAAATATGAAGATTTTGGGGGATTATAAACAAACAAGTTGTTGTATAAAATGAGATTTTGATAATTAAAATAAATTACAAAGTCTTTTGCAATTTGCACCCAGTAAAAGATTATTTTTTATATGAATTTATTTAATCACCTTCGAATAAGAATAACGTAAAATGGTTAATTGCTATATATATTTATCATGCATTAAAATCTTGAACGTGGAGCTCTATTGATTGAATTTAATGTTAGTTTGACTTACAAGCAAACATTTAATCTTACTCTTGGGAGGCGTTTTGATTAAAAATTGCAGAAAATATAATAAGAGAACAAGAGATTTTGTTCAAAACATCCAGGCAACATCGCTGTCCCAGTAAATTCAATTAGATTAATTAAACGATATTACAAGATTCTGCAATTGCAGTGACAATTACATTTGCCTCTTTCTCTTCTCTCTCCCATAACTATTTCATAAATGTATTGTCTGAATCATCAATTAAAGTAAATGAATGTGGTCTACTTTCAAGTGTTAGTCGAATCCAATATATATGAATCCAGCAGGGAATCTAGAAGCTTGCTGAAAGTTGAAACATAAGGGGCCTTCAATTCATGCCCAGAAAGCAAGATTATCAGAAGTCCCATTATGGCTTTGATTATATAAACCAATGCATGCAACAATACCGAAACTGATCAAGCAACAGTACCGAAACTGATACTTGATCGACATTTATGATATTGATTCGATAATATTATAAGACTGATCAATAACAGCGTTATCACTTGGAGTTAATAATTTGATTAATTTTCTAAGAAGAAAATGAAAATCTGGTTAAGTATCCTCTCTTTTGTGTTATGGACAAGATAATGCTAATAGCTTTATGAAAATGTGTCCCTGGTGATTCCTTTTATTTTTAATACTTGAAACTGAGATTAAGTTTCTATAAGTAGACACAATGACCATCTTTGATCTAATCCATTTACATTTTCTGTGATAGTGGGAGACATCTTATTGCTTTTGTGGGCTGGAAAAAAGCAAGTTTGAAAACGGGAGAAACAAAAATGGCTAACGCCAAAGTTTATAAAAGCAGCAAAATGGAAAAGGAAATTTGTGGAAGTGTTAGATCAAGTAAAATGACCTCTTATAGCCATTAGAAAATGTGTCCCATTCTCTCCCTAGTTGTCGTCTCTTAGTGTCTGCCTAACACTGTGCTTTCTTTGTTGGTGTTCTTTTGGATCTCTATCCATTTCATTGCTTCACCAAAAATCCCCTCTACCTTAGCTCAGGGTCGAGCCCTAAGATTCAACAACAAACTTAAAAAGCTACCTCTAAATACTTTACACCAATCATTTATGAATAATACTTGCATTCTTTGTAGTATTGCAGTTAGTGGTACAAAGTTAGCCGATACTTATTCCTAAAATAATGTCATTGTTAATATCAAATTTTATGTATCTAAAAGCGCATTTGGATTAGTCTAAATCTGAAAGTTCCTTGGTAAATATATTTGGTAAAAGAAGTTGGTGTGAAACCTAAACAATATTTCTTAATTGAATAAAGTCATAGGCCACAAAACTATTGTAATAGAAAAATGAAAATGTAGAGAAAACAAAATGAAGGACAATGGGATGTGGGAACAGTAATAGCATATGCTTTAGTACTTATATTTCTCTTGTGTTAACATTAGAATGTATGGTATTGTTTGATAAAGATGAGACAATGATAAAAGGTTAACTGAGAGTAGAAAGTACTTTTAATTTGGTGAAAGAGAGGGTCCCAAAATTTGAGGACCCTTGAGCGATAATCTTAATCTTTTTTGCCCAATGAATTGAAACAATTTGATTTGGAGAATCTTTTCTTTGGCCTATGATTTCAGATATAAGTGTCAAGATCATCAGGTGTAACTAATAAACAACCTATCTTCTCACAATGAAGACATGCAACCCCATTTCTTTCTTTCTTGTCTCTCCAACGGGGATGTCCTTAATCTGCCCTATCTAGTATAAGTCAACATTTAATGGTTTTAAGAAATCTAAAATTTGAAATCTTGGTGTATAGAAATAGAGGTCGGAATGAATAAGATAAGAATCGATGAGATATCAAAATTTTACACCAATGGTTTGAGAATGTTAATTATAAATCATATACAGTAGAACNTTTTAAAATAATGTCATTGTTAATATCAAATTTTATGTATCTAAAAGCGCATTTGGATTAGTCTAAATCTGAAAGTTCCTTGGTAAATATATTTGGTAAAAGAAGTTGGTGTGAAACCTAAACAATATTTCTTAATTGAATAAAGTCATAGGCCACAAAACTATTGTAATAGAAAAATGAAAATGTAGAGAAAACAAAATGAAGGACAATGGAATGTGGGAACAGTAATAGCATATGCTTTAGTACTTATATTTCTCTTGTGTTAACATTAGAATGTATGGTATTGTTTGATAAAGATGAGACAATGATAAAAGGTTAACTGAGAGTAGAAAGTACTTTTAATTTGGTGAAAGAGAGGGTCCCAAAATTTGAGGACCCTTGAGTGATAATCTTAATCTTTTTTGCCCAATGAATTGAAATAATTTGATTTGGAGAATCTTTTCTTTGGCCTATGATTTCAGATATAAGTGTCAAGATCATCAGGTGTAACTAATAAACAACTTATCTTCTCACAATAAAGACATGCAACCCCATTTCTTTCTTTCTTGTCTCTCCAACGGGGATGTCCTTAATTTGCCCTATCTAGTATAACTCAACATTTAATGGTTTTAAGAAATCTAAAATTTGAAATCTTGGTGCATAGAAATAGAGGTCGGAATGAATAAGATAAGAATCAATGAGATATCAAAATTTTACACCAATGGTTTGAGAATGTTAATTATAAATCATATACAGTAGAACCCCTCTATAGTAATACTCTACATAAGAATAATCTTTATATAGTCATAAAAAATTTTAATCCCAACTTGGGTCAGTTATAAATAAGAATAAATTTTACATTGTAATAAGTTATAATTTTTCTAGGTCCCGTCTTAAGGAACTTGCCTTTATATAATAATAATAATTATATGTATATTGTAAAAAATATATATTATGTTACATTAAAGGTTTAAGATGAAATAAATATTTATCTAAAGTTGTTTGGAACAATGATTTATGTTTTAGAGTTGTTACCACATCTTTTATCTTACGGGTACGTAATAAGCCGTCAACATGAACACTTTCTTGTTGAAGCCAAAATATTTCTAACTTATTAAACATGTTTAGAGTTTCTTGACACAAAATTTTTGGTATTTCTGTACTATTATCCTCGGAATTATCTCATTCTTCTTTTTGTCTAATTCTAGTAATGATTTCTTTTTCAATCAAAGCATACACGACTTGTTGCTTTGATGACTGTGGAAGACATTAATATCCATTTGATTAGTGTAGTGAAGTTGTCGAATCTGATCACTCAAATTTGTAATGGCTCTTTGATATTCATTTTCGTGTTATCTTAGTACTACTAAAACAATGAATTGAAATCCTAATACTACTTAAACATGAATTATAAAATAAGAAATCAAAACAATATTTCTTATAACTACACATTTATTAAGTTATAACCTCTTCATAGTAATAAATTTAGTTGGTCTCAACATTATGACTATAGAGAGGCTCTACTGTATATTGAAATAACTTTTAAATACAATAATATTATACATATAAATTTGGATCCTATTCGACAATTAATTTGATGTCATCTCCTTAATTATAAGATGATGGAATAAATAAATTAACGTGGCAAATCAACTGCCACATAGGTTGAGATATAAAGTTAGAATTCCAATTTTGTATGTATAATATTACTCATATAAGAGAAAGATTAGAAAACATGAAACTAATTTATGCCGTCTATGACTAAAATGTATCATAACCCATGCATTTTAGAATGCATATCCACAATAGTATCAAACTTTTTTGATGATTTTAAAATCGAAAACTATAGAATAATCAAACCTAAAAACAAATAATACGGATAAAAAGGAGTGGTTATAAAAGCATTAAGTTAGGACCC